ATGTTCATGTGTATTATAGTCAGTAGAATATTGAAGTTTTGTTGTTGCTTCACAAATCAAACGACTTGTAGCTGTTGCAGTTCTTTCGGGGATATTTCTATGTCCTTTTGAATTATAATGTTGATGGTGGACTTCGTATATCGGTATCTACTCACTGGTGAAAGTCTGTTTGTGCTTGACTTATATTTCTGTTAATCATCTTATATCATCTGTTTATTTATGTATATATGTACTTGTAAATAGGGTACTTGTGTTGGGTAGCCAAGTGGTTAAAGTGGTCACTCATCAACTTGAAGGCCCAGGTTTGATTCCCCACGTGGGTAATGAGTGACGCAGTCTGGTGTCCCCTGCTGTGATATTGCTTTACAAGTAAAAGCTTACCAACTCAGAAGATTAACTTAATTAAGAAACCTTATCTTGTGCATACTGTATTGTCTCATGTATAATTTGAACTTTCCTTGATTCATTCATGATGGTCCATAATGCATTGTTCACATCAAAAATAATCCCAACTGAGATTCATGATGAGGGCTTTCGCTCAAAAGACTATGTCAGTGATCCTGTGGTTTATCACGATGCAGTGATCCATGGTGATTGACTGATCTAATGATTCATTTCATCTTTGGTGCCAGTTTCCCTTGTATCAACATTCACCAAGCATTCACATTAGCATGCAAGCTGCCACATTCACTCAGCTGCAGTGATATTCTTGATTTGTGAGCGCCTACACTACTCCAGCAGACTCCATCTACACATGCAGCCACTGCAACAGGGACTGCCCGTCCCGAGGAGGTCTGTACAGCCACAACAGGCACTGCTCTGCAAGTCCCAACTGACGTTCCTTCAACCCGGGTGAAGATCCATGGTCTCCCGAGATCAATGGATGCTTTCTGCCCATGCTTTAGTTTTCAGCCCATGCTTGTCGCAAGAGGCGACTAACGGGATCGGGTGGTCAGGCTCCCTGACTTGGTTGATGCAAGTCAGCGTATCCAAAACGCGTGGATCGATGCTCATGATGTAAATCACTGGATTGTCTGGTCCAGACTCGATTATTTACAGACCGCCGTCATATAGCTGGAATATTGCTGAGTGCGGCGTAAAACAACAAACAAACAAACTAAATGCTTTAGTTTCAGGTGGAATTAAAATACTTCAGTTAAGTTACCCTTTGCTTTGAAAATGATGGCTTATGGAAACCCGGGAGAGGGGATTCATATTCAGGGAAAGTGCCTGTTTCTTCTCAGCTCAACTGACCCGTGAAGATCTGGGGGTAGAACAGGTCTTCAGCAACCCATGCTTGCCGTAAAAGGCGACTATGCTTGTCGTAAGAGGCGAATAACGGGATTGGGTGGTCAGGCTTGCTGACTTGGTTGCTGCATGTCATCGATCCCAATTGCATGGATGGATGCTCATGATATCAATCACTGGATTGTCTGGTGCAGACTCAATTATTTACAGACCGCCGTCATATAGCTGGAATATTGCTGAGTGCAGTGTAAAACAACAAACCAACCAACCAACAAGCTCAGCTGAAAAATGATAACAGATACACAAGCTTTTGAAAATAGGCAATTCTAACATGCCTGAAGTATCTTTTGCCATTGAGCAGATTGCTTCGGGCTACTAAGCATGTGCCTAAATATTTAAGAACTTGATCAGAAATGGTGGAGGTCAGTGACCTGGAAGGGGAGTATGTGTGTGTGTGTGTCGGGGGGGGGGGGGTTCTGGTATTCTGAACCACTTTTGAGTTAAAGGTTCTAGTCGACCCTACAAACAATATGAAGTATTGGGGTTCTCAGTCTCACAGAAGTAGTAAATATCTATGACTTGTCGTCTGTGCCAAAGCATTTGGAGTCTGAACTTGTAGCTTGGCATTATTTTCAGTTGATTTTTGTCTTCGTATATATGGACTATGTTAAAGCTGATCACTAGTTTGAAGGAAAGTTTAGTAGACTTCAACTATGGTCTAATTCACTCGTCACGCTGAAGACCCGAGTTTGATTCCCAGCATGAGTACAGTGGTGTTCCCCACCATGAAATTGATGAAATATTGCTAAAAGTGGCATAAAACCAAATGTTTGGAGTATGGAACCCAAACATAGCCTTATCCACCATCTTATAACATCCACAGCCTTTTGGTGTAGTCTGTCACACAGTCCCTGAACCATATTATTGTCCCTTCCGTCCCTTACTGTAATGCTATAGTCTTAAATGAAGTAAGTCTAGATTTTCGGCAGGGTTGAAACTTTATCACTTTAAATGTAGTTGCTTGTTTCTATCAAAATTATCTAGTTTCAGAGACTAAACATTAGTCTACCCTGTGGTTTGGCAAGCTGTCTCCCCCATCAAGTACACTGTAACACTTAGATGTACTCTTGACACTGTTCTGGCAGATGGAGATGGAGCAAATCTCGGCATCTCCTCTCTAACCCCTTCAAGTATCTTGGCAAACAGGCCTGTTGCACACCTTGAAATAGAAGGTGTTTGAACAGAAAATAAAGCATTTGAATTCATGGCTGGTTTCAGAGTCTTGCACATAATGGATCTAAATAGCTGAGACAACCTCCGGGCCCTGACACGCTTAGTCCATATGCGTAATGTTTATGAGTTGAAAATCTTTTTAGTGTCCTTTGATGTTTCACCTGGCTCAGGGCTATTGGAATAGTTGCCCATCCATGAAATGATACTGTACGTATTGATCAAGATGGTAGTCAGATCTACCTGGAGTGACACAATGTATAAGTTGTTAACAAGTACATCATTGTACTCTTTCTATACATTGTATAACAGATTTTATGTTGACAAAAGGACATAGGAATTCAGTAAAGGTGACACAAGAGTGGGTTATGTGTCTGAACTTTCTCATTCTAGGTCAAGAGGGCACGGGTGGCCCAATCGTCTAAGGCACTGTGATTCGCTGTGCAGAGTTGCGTTCCTTGGGCACGCCAGAAACCTATGATTGTGGGTTCAAATCCCGCTTCGCCCGGATTATGTTTCTAGGTTTGTCAGCACCATACCCGTGCTCGTGGATTTTACCGAAGTGGTAAACGTCTGAGACCTGCATCACTTCGGGCTTTCCTCCCACATTAAGCTGACACGCCGTGATATAACTGGAATATTGTTAAAGGCGGCATTAAACCCAACTCACTCACTCTCTTGCTCATTCTAGGTCAAATTATGAACTACATTTGAATCATACTTTAGAAAGTTGAGTTTTTTTTCTGTTTCTTTTTCGTTATAATTGCTTTAATTTCAACAATATTGAATTATAGACAGTAGTATGGATGAGTATCAAATCAGTGTGATTCATCTAAACATGTGTAACATAAATATGTTTATTTTGTTTTTCAAGTGTGAATGTAAAGTATAAGTGTGAATGGAAACCCATTGGGATTCCAGGTAAGAATCCCCAGCAACCTAGACTTGTTGTAAAAGGTGACTAAATGAACTGGATGGTCAGGCTTGATGACTTTGTTCATTGCATGTCATTGTGCTCATCATTCTCATGTCAGTCACAGGATTGTTTTTGAGGTTTTGTTATTTATCGACCTCTATCATATAGCTGGAATCTTACTATAGTTGGTATGCTCAAACAAACTCAAACAACGAACAAAAAACAAAAATTGTAAATGGAGTATAATTCACTTTAAAATACAATAAAACAAAAAGGAAATTCTACCCAACAAAAATAAATTTGAAGAAGGATACCTGCAGCAAAAACAGGAAATTCTTATCTCTCCTTAATTGTAGAATAAACAAAATAAGGATGCATTGTGTTGGACAACTGGTTAGTTTAAGGTAGACACTGCCACCTTAGTATTGTAAGCGTCAGTGTTTTTGTCATCTAACATAAAGGGTGGGGAGATAGCCTCCTGGTTAAAGCATTTGCTTGTCATGCCAAAATCCCAGGTTCTAGTCTCCACAGTGGTTGAATATTGGAAGCCTACATCTGGTGTCCTATGCTGTGACATGACTGAATATTGCTAAAACTCACTGTCAAAATATGGTATAACATCTATAATAAGATGAATAGATGACTACATTAATTTAACTCAACCCCTGCATTTATACAGCAGCTATGAAATATGTGTATACACAGGAAGGTAGTGCATATGGTACCATAAACAAATGAGTTTGTTTTGAAATGTAACAAATACAGGACTTATTGACACCAAAGAAGACAAGCATGAGGAAGTAGGCCCGGGGTGTTATAGTTAAAGACCTGGGACATGAACGTGGCAGGGACAGGATTCATTAACAGATCCCCATTCCACAATGCGATCGTAGCTCTACAACTGTCGTAAGTCTATGTTAAAGTATGGGAGTTACGATCACCTCTACGCTAAGATCGCTTTTATTTGTGAAATGGTGTCCTGTACATACAGTTGGTAGGCTTGAATGAACTCTTCATCAGACCAGGGAGGTGAAACACAAAAACTGCTGAGTTGACAACATTCTTTTGAACACCTAAGTACACTGTAGCAATGAATGAAGTGTGAAACAATAACAGCTGGTGGCCATCTTTCAAGGAAGTCATGACTGAAGAACCTAGTGTGCTAAATGCACTGTTACTAGGATGCAGTCATTATAGCTGGGAGTTAAACAACAAAAACACCAAATAAACAAAACCTGGGTTCAAGGTGAGATTCTCTGAAAGAAGGGGTCCATAGTACACTGTACTGGTACGAAATTTCAGGTAACCCAGTCGTCTAAACAATTAGCTGTGCAGAGTTTAATCCCATGTGTCAGAAAGATCATGGTTTAATCCTTGAGTTGCCCAAATTGTGCTTCTAGGTTTGTCAGCACCATTCCTGTGCTGGTGGGTTTCAGAAAGGTGGTAGATCAGTTAATCCAGTTAATGATTTGAATTGTAACTGAGTACTGAGAGAGTGATGGTATTGATGACTGTATGATGTAGATCTTGTGTTCAATATGTGCTGGTGTTCAATATGTGCTTGTGTTTAATATGTGCTTGTGTTCAATATGTGCTTGTGTTTCAGGTAAGCCTAGAGCGTGTGCTTGGTCTGACCGTCTCCAGCAATGCCAACTTCACATGTGACCCCAACACTGGCACCGTCGCATACCCTGCTGGGTGAGTACTTTACACCGACACAGGAGGGCCAGGATAGTTACGTTTGCATCCTGTCCAGTGTAGTGATGGGAGATTTCAAATTTCAAGATTGATCGTTGATGTGAAAAGGCAACAATGTCATTAAGATCAGATCCTAGTGCTTTCTACTGCTACACAAAGATCTGAGAACATCCAATTACAGGTCATGTCAGAATGACCTTTCATCCAGCCAATCAGAGTGTCGCTAACGAGATTTGGATTTTCTAATTGTGGAACCTCGAAAAGGTTAAAATGAAGCATTCCAAATGACAGTTATGCGCTGCAAGACTGATTCCAAATGCTAAACATCTTCTATCTCTTGCTTCAATAGGATGAACTTTTGAAACGGAAGACGCTTTCCATAGCCCATGGGAAGTACTGCCATTCAATGTCGTTGATCTGTAGACATTCCAGAAATTTATTTCAGTTTTCATTTCAAATTTTGAATGAAGTATTTGGCAAAAAAAAATTCAAAGTGTAGTTTGGAATGGAAGTCACCATTTTGAAACTAGTGTTGTAATGCTTGGGAAAGCTGCTTTCTGATTGGCTAATGTTGGCTTCTGACTTATAATGGACTGTCCTCAGGTCTTTGGTGTAGCAGTAGCGTAGCACTAAGTTCTGATTTTAATGATATTGAAAGGCAATTGATGACTGATTAACAATCAACAGGCAATCAGCAGGGGTCTTCAGAGTAATGTTATCAGATTGATCAACTGATGAATATTTCTCCATTTTGATCTTGTTTTGTCCAGTGTTCTGTCTATGTAAAAAGGCCTGTCATATTGTTGTTTATCACAACATTTCATATCCTTTTGCTGATAAAGTTGCAAGAAGACTACAGAGTGTGATTAATCATGAGTAGATCATGAATCTGTGCCCTCACAGGGATGATCGAGCATGTTGTTTTGCCCAGCGCCCTCAGGGTACATTTATGCCCTGCAAACACACATACTCTGGTTTGTGTTCAGTGTTAATCACCACCAACCCCTGCACGCAGATGATTGTGATGGAACACCAGCGACTCAGGATGTGAGGTACAGCATGGTATGTTGTGCTGCTCACTGGACACTTGTGGATTCAAATATCATATTGTAGGAAGTAGTCTGTCATGCAACGTAGATCCTGTTTTGAAGAAACATGATATAAAACACCCATGAAATTAATGCTGTCACACTAGTCAAGATTTTAAAGGCTGGTAACCTTCAACAATATTCAATATGATAGAAAGCTACAATTTCTACACACATGGAGGTGGTGGAGTAGCCCAGTGGTCAAAGTGTTGGCTTATCACATCAAAATCTCAGGTTTGATTCCCCACAAGTACAATGTATGAAGCCCATTCTGGTGTCATTCACTTTCATGATATGGCTGAATATTGCTAAAAGCAGCATAAAACCCATCTCACTCACTCACTCACTCACTCACTCACTCACTCACTCACTCACTCACTCACTCACTCACTCTACACATATATCTTCTATGACTGACAATGTGCCGCTGTCAGTGAACAAGTGTGCAAGTATTTCAGAGAGATATGGCAAGATCAACACCCCGTTTAACTTGTATCAAAGTAACCCTGATCAGATATCTCATAACTGGTCTCATTATGTGATGATATTCACACTTACAAGTGAAAAGAAGACATGAATCCTAAGACATGGTAATTGAGAAGTACAATTTCAAATTCAAAAGCATAAAACAGCATTGAGTGCACGCCATGCTCCAGGACCATAACTCTATAAGACAGGTTGTCATGTATATAGTATGTTCCCATGGGCCAGGGTTTATGTCAGGATCTCACCAGGAAACCCGAGATCTAAGACTCGGCGGTGAGGTAAGCAACTATGATCCGTATCAGTCGTTAACCTGTCTCAGGTATATTCCCAGGTCTCACTGCCCAGTCGATGTGAGAGTTCACATGTATATCTCTCACAGGGGACACCAGGAAACATTGCAGAGGGGAGGACAATTGGATGGAAATATATGTATGTAGCTTGAGTTATGTCTGTGCCCCTGAATAAAATTTGAAAACTCGGATTTAAAGCAAATAAATTTCAATTTCCTGGTCAGAAAAAGAGGACAGGAATAGAGATATTGTTATATTTAATGACAGAAAAGGGCAGGTAGAAAGATGGGTTGAGTGTTTATTGTCTCCAAGTCACAAATAGTACAAATGTTTCACCTTATATGAATTCTGAGTGACTGTTGTTAGTATATTTTTTTTCAATAATAGAAACCATCAAATATTTTGCATTAAACAACTACTGCAATGAATTAATATTAATTTAGTTATTTAACATGTTTAATATCAATGTGACAGCTAGGTTTGATATCTCTTCCATTGGCTACTGCAGATCGGGAGATATCTAATTTAAGGTTAGGAGAAAAGTATGAACAAAGGTTTTTATGGTGACATATTTACAGGATGATATGAACCTACTTGCCATCACGACCCGTGAAGATTCCGGAATAGAATAGGCCTTCAGCAACCCATGCTAGCCGTAAAAGGTGACTATGCTTGTCGTAAAAGGCGACTAACGGGATCGGGTGGTCAGGCTCGCTGACTTGGTTGTTGCAAGTCATCGATCCCAATTGCGTGGATCGATGCTCATGATATTAATCACTGGATTGTCTAGTCCAGACTCGATTATTTACAGACCGCCATCATATAGCTGGAATATTGCTGAGTGCGGCGTTAAACAACAAACCAACCAACCAACCAACAACTTGCCATCACAGAAATTTCAAAACAGGATCAATTTTGTTGAAATCAGAAGGAAACGTTTCTATGGGACTATATATAGTGAACAAAACAGGTTAGATCATGAATATTTGGGGGGATAATTTTATGAAATTGTGTGCTCAGTCTTCACTTAAAAAAATATCCAATGCCCCTGACAATTTTTGTTCAGTATGTTCCATTGCCTCTTGCTCATTTCCTAGGGGCGGTCGGGTAGCCTAATGGTTAAAGTGTTCGCTCATCACGCCAAAGACCCGGGTTCGATTCCCGACATGGGTACAATGGTAGAAGCCCATTTCTGGTGTTCTCCACTGTGATATTGCTGGAATATTGCTTAAAGGGTCGTAAAACCATATTCACTCGCTCACTCACTTGCTCATTTTTAGCCTTGGTCCAGAAATTATAAAATTAGTGGCTTGTGTCTAAAACCAAAACAATGGGGTTTCTATGACTGTCGAATCAAACTTGCTTGGATGGCAAAATTGGCCTGACCCCATTATAAATCTACTGGAGTTGGGAGCCACTTGTGGAGAATGTTAAGACACAGTTGTTTCTGTGTGTGTTGTATTTAGGGGTCAGGTGTATCAAATCTGGTTGGGGATTTAAGCTGGCAATCACCTTTCTTGTCACTCATCTTTCCATTTGATATCCAGTTATCAGACCTTGAATATCACTGACATAGACCTGATACCCTTGACCAACTAAAGGCCTGTCTATCTACTTGTGAGTGGTTACTTTCTGACATCCAGGCTGTCATGACAGTATTTATATTCTGTCAACAATATTTGGACACTTTATAACTTATCCTACAGTGCTGTGACACTGGTAGTCCTGCACCATGACCGTGGAATATATTTATTTTATGAAAAATAATAAATCTAGAAACGCATACAAAAGCAAGTCTAGCCAGCTCAAGCTAGCTCTATTCCACACTCTGAAATCAGCATAGGGAATTTTTTTTTTTTTTTAGAGTCAAGAAGGACATTGTGTAATATAAGATTTCAGAGACTCAATGTAAGGCTATGGCACTGGCAGTCTGACATGCTAATTCAGGGGATTTAGGATGTCTGTGGGTGAATGAGTGAGTGATTATGGTTTGACACTGATTTTAGCAATATTCCAAACATATCAAGCTGCTCTACACATTTTGGGGAATTGAACCTGGACCTTCTGTGTGACAGACAAACACTTTAACCACCAGGCTACACCACCGACCAAATGTTCTAGATATAGTAGAAAAATGTGATAGAGCAATGTTAGTAATGGATGATAAGTATTGTTACTGTTAATCCTTCACATATGATATATAATTCTATACCTTGTTCATTATTCAGTCGGGGCAGTGGGGTAGCCTAGTGGTTTAGGCGTTTGCTCGTCACCCGGAAGACCCGGGTTCTATTCCCGACATGGGTCCAATGTGTGAAGCCCATTTTCTGGTGGCTGTGATATTGCTGGAATATTGCTAAACGTGGCGTAAAACCACACTCACGAACGAACGAACGAACGAACGAACGAACGAACGAACGACCGACCGCCTCCGTGGTCTAGTGGTAGAGCGTCTGCCCGGAGAGCGGAAGGTCCAGGGTTCGATCCCCCAGGCCGCGTCATACCAAAAGACGTTAAAAGATGGTACTTGTTGTAACCCTGTCTGGCGCTCGGCATTAAGGGACTCAACTCAACTCAACGGTTCAAGGGTCAATACCAAAACATCACTATCACAGTATGATAAAGAAGTTGTTATCCATTAACCTTTGTCTTCTTTGCAATGTTGGTCATGCTCGACTCGGTTACAAAACACATTACACGTATTTGAAATGGCTGCTTCATCTATTCAACTTTTGAAAGAAACGGTTCAGAAGTTTGATATAATTTTCAGGTACAATTGATACTGCTCGCGTCAGGTGTCTCTGTCTCAGTTTTGTTCCATAACAAGATTTCCAAGGACTTTGACATATCATCCGAACGCTGTCAATACTTGAGGAGGAGGGCACAACAGGTGTGACCAGATTGATCTGTAACCTGTAACACTACCTACTGGACCATGTGTCCTCTGTTGTCGCTCCTCGGTGGACTTCTGTGTGGGAAGATCATGTTATACCCACCTCGACAAATAGCTTCAGGTTCTGTTAAATAAGCCATGTTCGTCAATGAAATTGTATGGAGCAGCATCAGTGCCTCCATCTTGTACCAACACTGTATTTATCTGTTTGAGTGGCATGTGTGACGATGACTGTGATTACAG